GAGGGAGAGAGGGAAGGAGGGAGGAGAGGGAGAGTAAGAGAGAGAGAGAGAGAGAGAGAGAGAGAGAGAGAGAGAGAGAGAGAGAGAGAGAGAGAGAGAGAGAGAGAGAGAGAAGAGAGAGAGAGAGAGAACCTAAAACAAACAAGTAATTATCCCCTCCCCCCTTCACCCCCCACCCACCCACCCCCCAGAAAAAAAAAATATATATATATATCCTGCCAAGGACAAGTCATTAACGATCTCCCCCGCCTTCGAATTTCCCGCCAAAAAAACAACGAACGCGTTAGATAATGGCGGCGGGCTTTGGAAATTCGATCACCAATCATTATTCGCACGTTATTTGTCTAGATTGGACAGGCTCCGTATTGTTAGGGAAAGAAACTCTCTACTAATTGTTACCTGACACTCCCAGAAGCGCTATTAATGCCGTTATGTTGTGGCTCAATGCGGTTGTTATGGGGCGGCGGAGACTCTCGGTTCCGCCATGACACTCGGTGTTTTGAAAGAGACGGGATACTGATGCTTCCTTTTTTTCTCTTTAGGTCTATGTTTTCTCTCTTTTTCTTTCTATGTTTGTGTTTTTTCTCTTTTTTTTCTCTCTTACTCTTTAGCTCTATGTTTGTGTTTTCTCTCTTTCCTATTTTTCTCTCTTTCTCTTTAGGTCTATGTTTGAGTTTTCTCTCTTTCTCTTTAGGTCTATGTTTGTGTTTTCTCTTTCCTTTTTTCTCTCTTTCTCTTTAGATCTGTTTGTGTTTTTCTTTCTTTCTTTCTTCGGTAAATTTGGGGATGACTCCCTACGCGTCATTTCCAATAATTCCTTTTCTTCTCTTGAATGTTGTACGTATTAGGAAAGATATACGGATGTACGTACATGTGGTACATACACACTGATGAACAAAAACAAACACATCCACACACACACACACACGCACACACACACACACACACACACACACACACACACACACACACACACACGCACACACACACACACAAACAAGCACTTTCTTGCCCCTCCACAGATCAATTTTTCGCCGTCGACAGCAAAAGCGAGCCACAAGTCATTACTGCGGCCGAACGAGACACTTCCCGAGGCACCGCAGGCTGACAATTAAGCTGACAATTAGGTCCGGCAATTAACGACGTTTCGGATCGCATTACGGGTCGCCGAGTGTAGTTTTCTCGGTCATATTTGCTGACATCATTATTCTTAAGTGAATTGCGCAATTCCGTCTTTCGCGTTTCGTTTTTGTTTTATCTCGCGAGATCCGTTTTCTTTTTCCCTCGTGAGATCCGTTTTCTTTTTCCCTCGCAAGATCCGTTTTCTTTTTATCTCCCCAAATACGTTTTCTTTTCCTCTAGCGAGATCCGTTTTCTTTTTCTCTCGCGAGATACGTTTTCCTTTTCTCTCACGTGTTTCGTTTTCTTTATCTAACGTGAGTTCCGTTTTCTTTTACTCTCGCGAGTTTCGTTTTCTTTTTCTCTCGCGAGACCCGTTTTCTTTCCCCCTTCCCTAACAGCGGGGTGATAATCGCGTAACTTTGTCCTTGTTCTGGGCCTTAGAGGATTGTACTTGATCAGTGAGAGTAGATGTGCAATTACGGACAACGGGATAGAAGTATAATTGGAGAGAATCGATTAATCTATCTCTCTATTTATCTTTTTTTTCTGGTCATCTATCAACCCGTGGAACTTTGTCAATGTCGCTCTGCCATTCTGTTTTTTTTTTTTTTAATCTCTGTTTCTGTCTCTGTCTGTCTGTCTGTTTCTCTGTCTCTGTCTCTGTCTGTCTCTCTCTCTCTCTCTCTCTCTCTCTCTCTCTCTCTCTCTCTCTCTCTCTCTCTCTCTCTCTCTCTCTCTCTCTCTCTCTCTCTCTCTCTCTCTCTCTCTCTCTCTCTCTCTCTCTCTCTCTCTCTCTCTCTCTCTCTCTCTCTCTCTCTCTCATTCTCTCTCTCTCTCTCTTTCTCTCCCTCTCCTTCCCCTGACTTGACTTGGTTTGACTTGAACTGACTTCAATGAGATGAACTGACTTGAGTCGACTTGGCTTTCTTGACTTGGTCTCCGAAAGGTATGGAAGTTCTCTTTTTTCTCTATTACCATTTTTTTCCCTTTTTTCCGTCTCTTTTTACCCTTCTTCCTATGTCCCTTTTCTCCCCCCCCCCCCAACTTTACTTTCTCCCTTTTTTCCACAATTTCTTTTCTATTTTTCTCTTTATTTTCTTCTTTTTCCTTTCTTTTCCCACCACTTATTTCCTTATCTATCTTCTATTTTTCATCCCTTTTTGTTTTTTTAGTTTTTTCTTTTTTTTCTTTTCTTTTCCTTTTATTTTTATTTTTTCCTTCTTCTTCCCCCCCATTTCTTTGCTTTTCTTTTCTGTTCTTTTTCTTGTTTTTATCTTTTCCTTTCCTTTCCTTTTTTATTTTTTTCTTCTTTTTTCAGGGAGGAGAGAGAAGAGGAGAAAGAGAGAGAACGATAAATAGATAGGGTGAGAGGGAGAGGGTGAGGGAGAGAGGGGGAGAGAGAGAGAGAGAGAGAGAGAGAGAGAGAGTGAGAGAGAGAGTGAGAGAGAGAGAGAGAGAGAGAGAAAGAGAAAGAGATAAATAGAGAAAGAACAAGAGAGAGACAGACAGACAGACACAAAGAGAAAGAGAGAGAGACTTGCTAAATAATGGAGCCAAGACAATAGAGAAGATAGGAAGAGGAGAAGAAACAAACTTGAAAAAAACATAAAAGTACAAGAAAAGACAAAGGTTTTCAAAGAAGTCGAGAGAACAAAGCAAGTCGGAATAAAAGGAAGAAGAGGAAAAAAAAGGAAGATAAAAGGAGGAAAAACAAACGCTCGAGAAAAATGAATGACCAGAATAAAGAAAACTGAAGTAAAGATAGATAGCGAATGGGGGAAGAGGCAAAACAGACAATAAGAAAGAAAAAACGCTGAATGAGCACACAGAGAATAGCACAAAGAGAAAGAAGGAATGGAAGTAGAAAGCGATAACTGAGAATACGTCCTTAAAGAATAAGGAAGAAGAAAAAAGAGAAAAAAAGAGAAAGAGAATAAGAAGAAGAGAAGGAGAAAGGGGAAGAAGAAGAAGGTAAGGAAGGACAAAGAATCAAAAGGAGGAGATGAAAGGGAGGAAAAGAGAAAAAGATAAGGAAAAAGAAGACGAATACGAAAAAAAAAACGAAGAAGACGAAGAAGATGACGAATAAGAAAAAAACGTAGAAGAAAAAGAAGACGAAGAATAAAAAGAAGACAAAAAAAAGAGAAAACGAAGAAGAAGAAAAAGAAGACGAAGAAGGAGGTAAGGAAGAACAGCCGATAATCAACGCATCTGGCAAAGCGGGCTCGCGGGAAAACCCTCCCCCTTCCCCCTCCCCCCCCCCGATTTACAGCTTCAGAACCATATTGTTCTTGCTCATGGGCGGGCTATCAATACGGGCGTGGGCGGGGGGGGGGGGTGATGAGGGAGAAGAGATGTGAAAGGAGAGAAGAGAGAAAAGCGAGAGAGAGAGAGAAAGAGAGAGAGAGAGAGAGAGAGAGAGAGAGAGAGAGAGAGAGAGAGAGAGAGAGAGAGAGAGAGAGAGATGGGAGAGATAGATAAATAGATAGAGAGAGAGAGAACTACAGAGAGCGAGAGACAACCCGATAGTACGAGAGACGAAACACACACAAAACAAGACAAATAAACAAACAAACTAATATATAATACCAATAAAATAAAAATGAGATGCAAAGTGACCTCTTCTCCCCCCCCCCTTCCCTCTCTTCCTCTTTTATCCCCTCCCCCCCTCTTTCTGCTCCACGATATCCTTCCTTCCCTAATTGCGACTTCGATAGCGATCTGAGGACCAAATCACCCCCTCCCCTCCCCTCCCCTACCCCTCCCTTGGCCCCATACCCCCTTCCCTCCTCCCTATATCCTTCCCCCCTTCCCCCTACCCCCTACCCTCTACCCCTTTCCCCCCTACCCCCTTTCCCTCCCACCTATACCCACAACCCCTCCCCCTTCCCCTATACCCTTACCCCCTTACCCCTTACCCACAACCCCTCTCCCTCTTCCTCCCCTTTCCCCCCTCCCCCCTTTAATTCATTAGCGGCTGAAGAGACCCGGAAGGAAGGAGAATAATTCCGCCGCCCATCCCAGCCTCCGGAAGCTGCACATGTCATCCCAAGGACTCGCGGGGGGGGGGGGGGGGGCTGGGGGGGAGGAGGGGAGGGGACGCGAGATGCTTGGGGGAAGGGGAGGGGAGGAGGGGAGGGTGAGAGGAGGCGAGATGCTTGGGGGGATGCTTGGGGGGAGGGGGAAGGAGATGAGATGCGTGAAGAGATGCTGGAGGACGGAGATGAGGGGAAGATATCGGGGAGATGAGATGAGAGGAAAGATGTTGGAAGAGAGAAAGGAGACGAGAGGCGAGTTGCTGGGTATGAGAGAGAGAGAGAGAGAGAGAGAGAGAGAGAGAGAGAGAGAGAGAGAGAGAGAGAGAGAGAGAGAGAGAGAGAGAGAGAGAGAGGGAGAGAGAGAGAGAGAGAGAGAGAGAGAGAGAGAGAGAGAGAGAGAGAGAGAGAGAGAGAGAGAGAGAGAGAGAGAGAGAGATTGAGAGAACGGCAGCCATTATGCAAGGAGGGAAGGAGCGAAGCCAAACTAAGACAAGATGCTAAGTGGAGAGGCCCTAAGTCAGTGACACCAGTCATTTAAGTGACGTATTAGCACCTGCCACTTACAACACTTGAGTGCGAGGCTCACTTAATTACGCGGAGAGGGAAGGAGGGAAGAGAGAGAGAGGGGAAGGTATTCAAAGAAGAGGACGTCTTTTTATTCCATTAGCAGCCTCTCTCTCGCTCTTTTTCTTCATTAAGAATATGAATTGGAATCATCATCAATCTCCATAAAATTTCGAACTGCTAGTGAAATGTGCTTTAATGTGCACGCCTTTGACAGGTGCACATACATATTTACGCTCAGAGTTCCCTACAAGAACAACGAGAAAAATCACTCACCTTCTTAATCGTGCCCGTGCTAGTGCCGAGGAAGGCCACGGTGTGGGCGGCCGCCGCCGTGGCTTGCACGCCCGTAACGAGCGTGCGAGGGAGGCGCAGGGCGGCGCGGCCCACCATGGGCGCGGGGCCCGAGATCTTGAGTCCGACCTCGCAGAAGCTGAGGATGTTGCCCATGGCGCCCGCGGCGGGGCACTTGCCGTCCAGGATGGGCCCCGAGATGTACTCCATGCTGCGGTACTGCATGGAGCCGTTGAAGCACATGTGGATGTTCTCGTTGAACTTGGCCTCGATGTCCCGCACGGAGTACACGCAAACGGCCGACGACGCCTCGGGGCTGGCCGTGTGGCCCTGCGACGGCGCGAACACGCCCACCAGGATGGGGTCGCCCACGCCCACGCCCATGCTGGAGGCCAGGTCGCTGCCGGCGCTCACCAGCTTGGCGTCCTGCACCAGGTTGTAGTTGGTGCCGTCGGCGCCCTGGCACTCGAGCGTGATCTCCGTGTACGAGTCGTAGTTGGCGTCGGAGATGCACAGCCTTGAGATGCGGCTGACGTAGCCCGACTCCTCCTGGCCCGGAAGGTGCGACTTCTTCTGCACCGTCAGGAAGTACACGTAGCTGGACTCGTGGAAGCCGTACACGTACTGCACCAGGAAGTGGTCGCGCAGCTTGACGTCGATGCGCAGCAGCGACTGCTTCGAGAACGAGAACTCTGCGTAGTCGAGGTCGTACAGGTTGCGCGTGGAGATGGCGGGGACGTCGTGGCGGTAGTCGCCCAGGTTGGTGAAGGTCTGGCCCACGTAGAGCGCCTCGGACCCGCCCCACGGGTTGTAGCGCTCGGGGCCCACGAAGGCGAAGGTGGACGCCTGCGGCTCGTTGGCCGCCACGGACCGCGGGATGTAGTCCTGGTGCACCGACAGGTTGCCCAGGCGGTACTTGTCGCACGCGCCCTGCGACACCGAGCCGCACGCCACCACCGCCCCCACGGACGGCGCCACCACCAGGAGCTTGTTGTAGTTGTCGGTGGGCACCTTGGACACGTGGTCACCGCAGCCGGAGGCGTGGCACGAGGGCGAGTCGAGGCGCGGCCCCGTCACCACCTGGTGAACCGGCAACAGGCTCTGCCCGTCCAGCTGGTACAGGCGGTTCACGGCGCCCAGGTACACGTCGTCGGTGTCGGCATCGAGGGCCAGGTGCGTGATGCGGTGCGTGGCGTTGGCCGGCGTGAACTGCGCCACCACCGCGCGCGTGACGTTGTAGGCGACGGTGCCGGCGCTCCTCTCCCAGTGGAGGGCGTCGAAGGCGCCTTCTTCCTTGGGGGGTCTGTGCCCCCCGCCCGCCTCGGGCAGGACGGAGCCGCCCAGGGCCACGTGGAGGCCGCTGAGCACCAGGTAGAGTCGAGCCACCCTAACCGCCAGAGGGTGAGCCGCTGGCGCCGCCCCTGCCGCTGCCATGGCGGCGCTCGGCGTCACTCACCTCGAGGAAGCTGGGACTCCGCCGCGCCGCTCCATCCTGCGGGACAAGACAGCGGCGTTAGCATCGGGAAGGCAATGACATATGGAATTATCAATAATAAACATAGATCTATATCTATCTATTTAAATAGTAATGTGTATATGTATCGAAGATCTAATTGTCTATAGTGTGTACGTACAGATAATTAACCTATATATCTATATCTACCCACACACACACATACACACAACTCTCTCTCTCTCTCTCTCTCTCTCTCTCTCTCTCTCTCTCTCTCTCTCTCTCTCTCTCTCTCTCTCTCTCTCTCTCTCTCTCTCTCTCTCTCTCTCTCTCTCTCTCTCTCCATCTCCATCTCCATCTCCATCTCTCTCTCTTTCGAAATCGAGTTAGCGACAATGCCGCTCCGGTCCTTGGCGCGAATTCTTACTCATCTAATAACCCCCCCAGACGTCGGCGCCCTGAAGAGAGGGGCATACCAGACTAGGGACTCGCGTAGGATACCAATTAGTTTTCGTGGACCCTGTGATCGCGTCTTCTTAACCTCCCTTCCCTCCCCCCCCCTCTCTCTCTCTCCCTTCTCTCTTTCTTGCCACTTCTCTCCCTTCTCTCTTCCTTGATCCTCCTCCTCCTCCCCTCTCTCTCCCTCCCTTCTCTCTTCCTTGCCCCTCGTCTCTCCCTCCCTTCTCTCTTCCTTGCCCCTCCTCCTCCCCTCTCCCTCTTTCACATCGCATCGTTATCTGCTATTTTGTATTATATCTTTTGCCTGTTCTTGTTCGTTTTCTCTTAATTGAGTAATGTTAATATTTTTCTTCTTTTTTCTCTCCCACAACCCCTCTCACTCCCCCCCCCCATCAGCCCACTAACCTCCCTCTCTTCCCCCTTCCCCCTTTTACCGCCATCTCCCCCCCTCAACCTCCCTCTCCCTCCCCTCCCCTCCTTAAACTACCCCCTTCCCCCCTCCCCCCTCATCTCAGTTAATGACAGTCTCCGATCCGACTTCAAGCCTGCCATCGGCCGACCGCGACTGCG